TCTGCATTATTTTTAACTCTAGAAACCTTTTGCCTTTACTCCCAAAATATGATATGATTTCTACTAAGTCTGGTATTGCCCAGTAGTTGGTGGGTTTTTGTTTGTTCATTTGTTTTTTCAGTATTGGATGTTGAATTCATGGACTGAGCTACATCACCAGTCTTTTTTTAAAAATTTATTTATTTATTTATTTATTTATTTATTTATATTTTGAGGCAGGATTTTGCTAAGTTACTGAGACTGGGCTCAACCTGAGGTGCTCTTGCCTCAGCCTCTTGAGCAGCTAGGATTACAGGCATGTGCCATCATGCCCAGCTGCCCAGCAACTTTTTACTCTTGTCTTTTGTTGGTGATTTCTCTTCCTTAGAAATTAAGCAACAGGACTCAACAGACCCTAACCATAAGAGCTTAAAGTTCCCCAGGAGAAATTAGATGTGGTTAAAATAGAAGAAGAGAGAAAACACTGGAACTTACTTGAACTGTAGTTAACCTGAAAATGGAATGTTGGGGAGAAGTGGCTAGGAGAACCAAGAGCAAAGCAGAATGCCTCAGCATATTTCTAGCACTACAGAATGTATCTTTGTTTGGGGCCTGTGATTATCAAACAATTTTTTAAATTATCTCCTGTGAATTTGCCTTTAGGAGTCATCAATTTGCTGATTCAAATATATAGCCTCCTTCGCCCTTACCTCCTTGTTCTTCTAAGTGAATTACTGTGGCATTTCCAGTTACACACCAGCCTCCTAGGAGTGCACGTCTCTTGATTGGTAAGTTTACTTGACCCAAACAAGCGTCTGAATCAACAGGGTGGAGCTGCTCACTCCCAGCTGTGTGACTTTTCCCAGATAAGGCCTCTCTCTAAGGTTCTACCTAGGCTACCAGGATCCCTTATCTTCTCTAATATTTAATAGAGTTTTATGGAACTATATCAATGTAGGAGTACACAAATCCTGTGAGTATGCCAATAAATTTCCTCACAGTAAACATATCCAGATAAGCTGCCTCCCTGTGAAGAAATAGAATGTTTCCAAACCTCTAGGAGGGCACCGTATGCTCAGGCTAGGTCACTATTACTCTTCTCAGATGTAACTACTATTCTGACTTTCACTATCATATAGTTAGATTTGGGGTGTTCATTTCCCTTTAACTTTTATCATGGGCTCCCAGACATTCTGAATGCCTGCAGAACATCAGAGTCCTTTTCGCTGAGCATGAGGACTGGGTATGCCTAGGAGGATATTAAAGGTTCATTTGTGTCACCCCTAAAATGAGAGATTAAAGCCTGATCACCCAGCATTAAGAAAGTGACCTTATTTGGAAATAGGGTTATGTCATATGTAATTAAGTTAAAATGATACTGTAGTTGGGTAGGCCCCTTATTTAATGTGACTGGAGTCCATGTGAAGACAGAGACACAGGGAGAGCACCATGGAAAGATTGAAGTGATACACCTACAAACCAGGGAATGCTCAAGATTGCCAGCAAACTACCCAAAGCTCGGATGGGGCAAGGACAGATTTTCCCCTACAGTGTTCAGAGGGAGGATTATCCTCCCAACCCCTCGATTTCAGACTTCTAGACTCCAGAACTCAGAGACAACGTATTTCAGTTGATTTAAGCCACCTAGTTTGTGGTGTTTTGTTCTGGTAACCCCATGAACACAGAACATCTTCCAGGTTGGGTGCTCTGACCCTGTTCTTTGCATTCCCAGAAACATACCTGGCCTGGGACCTGGGGCCTGGGACCACCAGACTGAGAAATGGTTACACTGTGTCTAAGCTGCTTTTCTCTGAACTGATACACAGACTGCTTCTCTTACCCCTGATTGCTGCTGTCTGTGATGTGTCTCATAGAAATACAGGAGTTTCAGTAGCCCTGTGTGGCTTTTTCTTCATTTCTCCATTCAGCTTTTCACTAGCACTTTTAGACAAAGCCTCTTTGGTTTCCTGAGGTGCTCCAGGCTGAGCTTTGTACATCAGCCCTTCTACGCCTCATCTGGATCTTTCCCAAAGTGTCCTTCCCCATCCTCACAGATTCACACTGGGACCATGTCCCTCATGCAGTTTCCCCTGGTTTCTCTGTTTCAGAATCATCATTAACAAAATAAATAAATAAAGCAGCTCACTGTATTTCTAAAATGAAATTCCTCGAACAGGTTGGCATGTTTTAAAAGAAGACTTCATTTTTCTGCCCTTACGCATATCATTTGAGATAATAAAAAATTCCTTAGATAAAAGAGCAGTCCGACCATTAGATTTTCATCAGTAATAAAGAACTAGGCAGAGCTTATTAGGCCCCCGGATATACTTTCTTTAGCAAAGGTTGGTTTCAAACCGCATTACAACTTTTCTATTTTTTTTTTTTCTTTTTCTTTTTTTTTTAAATTTGTTGCTCAGTTTCTGGCATTAGGGAAATCACAAGAAAGGTACTGTAATGAAATCCCCAGGGTGATTCCATGGGGCTCTGGCCAATTCCTGCATTCGGTGTTCCTGTCCTCCCTTGGGGACCTGGGGACTCTGCTGGAGACATTTATTTTAAATGCTCTTAGCACAGACTGTCCTTTAGTCTCTGACTTCCCCAGCCTGGAGTGATTACAGAGTAGATGTGCACTCCCCAACTTCCTCTTCTCTTTTGTGAAGAAGCCAGCAATTATTACTCATCACTATGGGAAAGTTTTCTAGTCATTAAAAAAAAAAAAAATTACAAACTTAGGAAAATTTCAGAAGTTGAAGTTATGTCAGTTTTGATTTCTGAACTATATGCCATTCCTTATTCTCTTGTTAGGACCCTGTCAGCTGGTGGATCTTTGGAGAAGGAGTTTTAGTTTTGCATAATTGACAAAATTAAAATAGTGCTCTTTCAACCTATAGTTAAGAGGTTAAGGGTGTTTATCTTATGTTTGTATGTTTAAATGTGTACTACATGGACTTAGCTTTAATACTCTGAACTCAGTCCTTGCATCCTATAATTCCATGGTCCATGAATAGATGGATAGTAAATATACCAGATGGATTCCTGGATAGGTGGGCAAAGACGGAGCTGCTCTCTCTGCCTGGACTATTTTCTATAAAAAGTGTGGGATGAATTTTGGAGCCATTCAGGATTGCCTCCTGAATCTTGGGAGAATTTTCCTCAGCCCACAAGGATTGCTGGGGTTTGAACTAGGAAACTTCTAGTTGGCTTGCCCATGGAATGTGCTTAAATGTTTTCTAGTTGTTTGTGAAAAAGGTACCAAATAGTTGGACTCCATGCAACACCCCCAAGGTATGCTGGTGTTAACTTCTTTCCTTGGCAGCCCAGATTTCTTTTTCTATTTACCCTCTTAGGAATAGTATATACTTCATTGGAAATTGACTAGAAGAGACTTTTCTTTCTCTTCAATTTTGTTTTTATTTTTTTATTTTTGTATATTCGTGACTGGATTATTTCAGAGTGTGAAGAATACAGTCATTAGTAAAATGATTACCCATATCTCAAAATATCTACCTTTTGAGGTTTTCTCAAATTCTTCTTTATAGAAGATAATATTAAAAGTATAGGACTCCTGTAAATGAATCTTCACATACATGTAGCCCTGCCTCTAGTTTCCATTTGATAATAAACCTTCATACAATGTCCTTGAGCTAAAAATTGCCATTAATGTGAACAGATCATTGTTTATAGTTACAGCATTTATAGGTCTAACCACTTCAATATCCCACAAGAGGCATTTTATTGTTTAGCTTAATGGTTTACTTTGTAGAACATTGTCTCTTGTGCATAGTAGGCACTTTGCATTCTTTGATTCTCAAAAAGTTTGGTAACTTTTCTGTAAAGTTGTACCTTGGATTATTTTCTGGTCAAAACAGAAGACAAAGTATTCCAGAGAAACATTGGGTGTATTTGTCTATAACAGGCTGATTGTTCTGCGCAGCCAGTGCTTATCATGAAGAGACAGTAGCTGTAGTAAGACTATTTTCTGTACTTACTTTCTCTTCATTATATTTTGTTTCAACAGGAATGCTTGTCAGCTTTTCATCCTGTGACCAAAATACCTGACAAGAATACCTTAGTGGAGGAAAAACATTATTTTGGCTCAAGGTTTCAGAAGATTCAGTCCAAGGTCCCCTGGCTCCAAGGCAGAAACATCATGGTGGAAGGGTGTGGCAGAGGAAAGCTGCACAGCTCCTGGCAGCCAGGACACACACACACACACACACACACACACAAAACCCCTTCCAGGGCACACCCGCCCCCCCACCCAGTGACCTTCCTCCAACTAGGCCCTGCCTCCCGGGTAGTCCACTCAGTTGCTGATGAACCCTCATGACCCTCATGATCCAATCCCTGCCTAAAAGCCCCACCTCCAAACCTTGCTACATTGGGGTCCATGCTTTCAACACGAGACTTTCAAGGACATCACAGATCCAAACCATACCAACAGGGTTATTATAGATTCACATAAATTAGAAATTTATTTTCTCAGTTTAAATACTTTTTACTTTTCAAAGATGTAACTATTTTAGATATCTAGGTATTTTTATATGACTCAAAAGGTTATGTTTTAGAAAGAAACTGTTTGAAAATGAAATTTTAATCTTAAAGTATTTCTAGCAATTTGAAGGATTTCCTGGCTTAGCAAACTGTTTTTACTGAACTGGCAAAAAGATATTTGACTTTAAAATAATATTTAAATAAATTCTCTGAAAACAACCTAGGGACAAACAAGTCTAGGGAATAGATAGCTCATGAAATATTTGGTTGATAGGATACTCTATGACATTGAAAAAGAATAAACCAGGCCTTAGATGCATTACATGGTAGACCTTAAAGTCAGTAGAATATTATGTGTTTACTATGTAAAGGTTAAACATCATTTGCCATATAACTTTTATGAAAGTGTGTGTGAGTGTAAATAAAAAGTGGATTGACTAGCTATCAAACTTATGATAGTGGTTTTTCCTGGGGGAAAGGAACATAAATCTGTATTTTAAAAACTCCAAGAAGATATGGTAATTTTGGTTAATAGGTTCCTGAGAATTTATTGCATTAACATTTAAACAATCTGTGTAATACTTTCTAACAAAGTAGATTCTAACTGATAATCAGACATTTATTAAGACTCCGGGAGTGAGAGTGGGCTATTGTTTAATGTCTTAGTATTTCACAGTGTCATTCTGTGAAAAATGAAAATTAACAGAATGAACTCTGAATATGAGGAAAGCTCCCAGCTGAGCTGGCTCCTGGGGAGCTGTAGGAATATCTAACCGCCTGGGCCCAAACTGTCCTGGGTACCTTTTAGCTTGAGACCTTGGGTGAGTCATTCTTTAGGCCTGTTTCCTTACCTCTGTGATGAGAATAGTCCCCATCTTAGTGCTTTTGTGGGGATTGTATGAAGTTGTGCATGTGAAATGCAAGTGTATGCATGCAGCAAAGATCAGCTGTTATTATTTTCACCAGCATCCTTGCTACCCATAGGCTCAGTTCTTCCAGGGTACCATTTTCATTCTCACCTCAGAATAGTTGTCAGTGCTGTTTCCTATTGTCTGGAATGTTTTTCCTTACCACTGTGTTTCAACTGGTTCACTTTTGCTTATCTTTCAGAGATGCTTCTGGTCCTTCCCTACCTGGTTCAGTTCCTGCAGCTTGCTAAATATGCCACAGCTGTAATTTGATAATTATTTATGATGACTTGCTAATGTCTGCCTCTCTTGCTGGGTTGCAAACGTTTTTCTTCTTCATGACTATATCACTGGTGCTTTAAACCATATCTGGCCTCCAAGAGCACTGGGAAATTCTGTATTGACAAAATCAACAAGTTACTCTAGAAGGTAAAAACACCATGCAGAGATAGTTCACCAAGAAGTGAATTTGACGCAATGCACATTGCCTTAGGTATTAATCCACTGATATTCGGAAGTAAACTTAAGATTATAGGATTTCATATTATCATCTATTGGTTTTTTGTAATAATAAATTATAAGGTACTCCAAATAAAGACCTGCCCCCTTATTTGTAATTTGGCCTTAGGAGATCATCTAATGGATAGTGGTTATAAATACTATCACATATTTTTATTTGCTGTGAAAAGCAGGACAGTTTACAATGCAGAAATCTTAAGGTTTTGTGTTTACTCATCAAATTAGCCACTCTTAACCTAACTCATTTTTTTCTTTTAAAAATAGCAGAAGAGGTAAAGAAGAAAAATTCACTGATAGGAGATACTTCAGAAGGGCCAGAATAATCTAAGCTCATTTCAAATGAACTAATATAAGTAGTTTGAAAAGCGTACTTTTATAAGTCAAATGGGATGTTATTTGTAACTTTTATGCAAAGCCAAGCAATAAAAGCCTTTTCGAGGGGGACTTTTACAGTCAAGGAAAAAGCAAGAAACCAAACCAATTCTCTTTTATTTTAAAATTTTGGGGGATAACTGGGGATCAAACCCAGAGCTTCATGCATTAGAGGCAAGTGCTCTAACACTGAGCAAATCCTCCCTTCCCTGTTGCCTGGTTCCCTTTTAATTGTAGGACTGTTTAGTATGGAGAGAAATATAAGAATACTTTAAATTTTGAGGAAGAGCTATGTATTTAGATATCAGCATATTGCTCCAGGAAAAGTAAAACACAGGATTTGTAATTGAAAGCCCAAAGTTTTTAGATAAATTGAGGAGTAGAATAAAGTGAGACCAAGCAAGAACCCGGACTTTAAAAACATTGAAGAAATTCTTATGATTCAGATGGGAAGTAGAAAGGTGAAATTCTAGGGTTAGGAAAACAGTGCAAAGCCCCACACTAACAAAGACTCATCCCCTTTAGAGACATGATTTTGTAATGGAAATCACTGGGAAAAATTAATTTATAGCGGTGTTTTTTTAAGGTTCAATGTTTCTATTAAATGTAGAATATTAAAATACATTTTCCATTCGTTCATTGTTTTCAATTACTTTCCAAGCTCAGATTCAAAGCAGCATTTAAAAAAAATGAAAGTGAAATACATTTTCTTTAGAAGTATGCAAAATTAATTATTACTTGGAGTATAATGTTAGGGGTACTGGAAAATACCGGGCTCCACATTTTTAGACACTTTGTATAGCAGCACCAGGAAGCTTGTTGTAAGTGCAGATTATCAGACCTGTGATTCCAACCTGATTGAGAATTGGCAGCTGAACAAAGTGCTCACATGATTCAATGGAGATTAAGATTGAATAAGCATTACTCTACAAACCCCTGCCAAGAGGACCTTAGAAAAGAATATCTTTAGTAATGGGTGACCCACTATTCAACCATGCAACCTGTTATTATCTTTAAGCACCCTAAATATGATCAAGTTCTTCCTAGTACAGAGAGAGCTCAGACCTACCTCCTTAAATTTTTCATTCCCTGACCTTTTTGTTTAACGCCCTGGAAGCCTTCAGAACTAAGCTAATTCCCCTTCTTCTTGAAGGCCATTCAAACATGAAACTGGGCTATTTTGTTTCTTTCCTTGATTTAAGTTTTTTTCTGGGTAAAACTAAATCCCCATCCTCAGCTCTTTCTGGTAAGACACTGCTTGAGTTTTCTTTACTAACTTATTCAGACTAAATAATCCTAAAAGATTCTTTCAACTTGTAATTGATCCCTTACTCCAGTTAGTAATAAGTGATAGTGGATGGAAGATAATAAATGCTCAGGAGCAGTACTTTTTGTAAATTGGGGGAGAATAATTCTGATGCACAAATTTCTTATGTTCTATAATTTCTTTAGGTTCAAAAATCTGTCTCATGGTGAAGAGTTCTCCTCTATTATAATAGTAGCCACTGAAGAGTACCACTTTGCTTTTCTCCTAGTTTCTAAATGGGTCAAATATTTAGTACTTCAAAGTGTAATATATATAAAAATATATGAAAAGAATCATTTTCTTTTGCTCTATGAATATTAAGATGTATGCACTTTCAGAAAAAAATTCCCCTGTATTGCATAACTCAGACTATCAACTGACTGACTTTGTCTCCAGGACCTGTAAATCAAATGTTGCATGCATACAATGAACAGATAGATATTATCTCTGTGTGCTCAACTTTTAAATATTTTTTTTTACTTGGTGGAATCTGTTTTGCATATTACTATATGATTTTCATAATAAGCAAAATTATTTCCTGTTGAGGACATTAGATTTATTAGTAGCTTCTGATACAAAATATTCACCAGAGTTTTGCATTTTTGATATTTATTTCCTAAGAATGTTTTAAAAATACAAATAATTTCTAACAGAAGAAAACATGCAGTTTTTGTTGGTTAATTTCTGTGTCAGTGTTAGTCTGTGTAAGAAAAGCTATAGTAGGAGCAATGTAACAATGTTTTTCAACCTTTTTTTTTTTTCTTCAGGAAGTGGTCTACAACACTTTCTGACACTAGTTGGTCTTGTTAATTCACCCACACTTCCTTCCTGCTTTTTTCTAGATATTTCTGTTATTCTCAACCTCCTTCTGCTCTCTTTCTTTCATCTTAAGGTTTTGAGGGGCAAGCTCCTTCGCTCACCTCTGCATTTAGCAATAAAGCTTTATACGTGTGGAGAGAAGCTGAAAAATAAAACAGATGGCTATTTCATTATCAGGTTGCTTTGGATTAATTGAGCTGGATATGTTATTTTTCTTGAGGAGATTGAGCAGGATCCTTTGGAAGACCAGCCAAGAATGGCAGTAATACAATTTATGCTATTGATTTGGCTGTTGAATTTTTTTTGTTTATTTCATTTTGATTTTGCATTTAGTAATTTTGTTACCCTGTAAAGCAGTGTATAGGAGTTCAGAAGTGAGTTTATTAAAATAGTGTTTTCATTACAATTTTTTTAATGGCTTCAGAGTTTTCTTGAGTATCTTCGCTATTCTTAAAAGTAAGATATCTTTATGTTTTATTTTAGCACTTGCAAGGGAAGAAACAGCCAAACCCTGGGTCTTGGATCATTTGTGGTAGAAGGCCTCAACAATTTAGCAGACAGCCTCCTGAACCTTCACATCTGGGTTGCTCCTAACCACACTCTTCATCTTTAGGAACAGAGGGCCACTGAGAAACAGATTCCTAAAAGTGCCGGTAAACAAAAATAACTCTATCATTATCTTAGATTCTTTCCATGTAAGTTTGAACATTTGAAATGTTCTTATACAATGTTTCTGTTTTTAGCAGGTGGTGTTAAAAAACCCCTCTGTTTATACAGCTGCTTGTTATTTGCCCTTATACCAGTTTTGCAGGTGCCCGGGAGGCCCATGAGAATGTCAGTAAAACCAATCAAGGCCTTTTCAGAAAAAAACAAAGTCAAGCTACAGAAATTTTAACTACAATTTTTATTTTCAATCCAAATATGCCTACTCTGTGGCTGTTCTAAGCTAATATGGAAGCAAGGAGTAAACAAACTGAAGTTAAAATTACGACATCATGTGCAATGCAAATGTTGTAGAAATTCTATTAACAACTGTAAAACCTCGGGCAAGAGATTTGCTCTCAATATATCCCAGTTATCCTACTCCTTAGTATTTACCTAAAATAACTAAAATCAGCATACTACACTGATGCAGAAACATCAGTCTTCATAGCAGCAAAATTCACGATAGCCAAGTTAAGGAATCAGCCCAGAAACCTGTCAACTGATGAATAAATTGAGACGATATATTATACATACACAATGGAGTTTTACTCATCCATAAAGAACAACAAAATTATGGCATTTGCTGCTAAATGGATGGAACTAGAGACCATCATGCTAACTGAAATAAACCAGACTCAGAAAGTCAAGGATAGAATGTTTTTTCTCAAATGTGGAAGCCAGAGCAAAGGAAAAGGAATAGGGAGAGGATTTAGATTAATTGAATAGAGGAAGGAACTTGAGGGGGAAGAGAGGAAAAACGAGAAAAGAGAGGAAATACAGAATAAATTTGACAAAGCTAGGCTATGTACCTGTGTAAATATACCACAATCCCACCTTTATATATCTCTATGAAGCATCAATAAAAATGCAATTAATAAATGGAGAGAAGACCACTAGATGAAAAGGAATATGAAGAGGGAGAAGAGGAGGGAAAAAAATTAAGCAATAGAGACTGAAATTAAGCAAATTAAATTCCATGCATTTATGATTATGTCAAAATGAACCCCACTATTATGTATGATGATATTGCATTAATGAAAACATTTAAAAATGGAGAGAGGGAGAGGGAGAGGGAAAGGGAGAGAGAGAGAGAGAGAGAGAGAGAGAGAGAGACTTGCTCTTTCTGGGCCTTGTTTTCTCAATAAAACTAATTCTAATTCCCTTTGTATTTACATACAGCAATTAGCAGTAATTAATTTCATTAAAGTTCCCTTAAACAACTTTGTTTATTCTCCTTACTATTCCTGAAGACTCATGCACAAATTTAGGACACCAGCTTATTACCTTTTTTTCTAAAGTTTAAAACAAAAGTGCCCACTAGGAATTGGCTACATGTTTAACCAGTGAAACTTGGTAGTCTTTCTGATTCATTAAGGTTCAAGAACCATTATTCTAGCAAATTTGTTACATTGACGAGTTGTTTGGCCATCTTTTTGTAAAGGATTCATATTGACAGAGAACATTATGCTTTTGTGATTCTGGAAAATTTGGATAATCACAATGATCTTGGATTTTGTCCTTAGGAGTCTCTAACTCTTGCTTGTTCACACTGAGATTATTTGTGGCAGTTTCAAACTCCTTCTCCAGCATAGTCCTGAGCCATTTACTATGGCTTGCACAGCTCTTGCCTGCCACCAGATAGGGTGGCAATGGGGCTAGATACTCAAGTTTCTTACTTCCTGGAACCTCTAATTGAATAGAATCTGGCTTGTAATCTTGGTGATGTGTGCATCTGGCTTTCCTGTCAATCTTCACTTTATTATAAATGATACCTATTTGCCAACTCAAATTATTTGTAGAGTTCTTCATTTTCTTTCTTGCTTTAAGATATTAGTTTGAAATGCTGGGTTTAAATCCGGATTTGTTATGTGTTTGCTTTTTAAGTCTCAGAGCAGTTTTATTATGAAAGGCATAAAAGGATGAGTTTTCTATAGCCAGAAATAGGGTCTAAGTTTTGCTGAAGACTTACTACTATTTTGAGTGTCTTGCATTTTATATTCAGAAGTGGATTAGGAAGATTTCATGTCACAGATACTTTGAAATGTTAAAATTAATGTGAAGAAATAATAGCTACCACAGTAATGGAAACTTAATTTTTGAAGCTATCATTATTAGCACAATGTCACAAGTTCATTAAGAATCATCAGGAAGTTTTGAAGCTCATTTATTTTAGTGAAGGCTTGGTATACAGTAGCTAGTACTTCACTAGTTGGAAAAGAATTAAGACAAGAATAGATGAGTCCTTCCATGTGCCAGATACTTAGATGCTTTATATTTATTATTTACAATAGCTTTATTGTATTATTGTACATTGCTGTTGTTATTGTACATTCTATAGAGGAAACTGAAGTATATAGAGGTTAAGCAAATTTCCAGGAGTATATAGCTAGTGAAAGGAAAAACTGATGTTCAAATTCAGGGGGTCTGATGGTTGAGCAAGCTATCTTAACACCTACCTATGCTGCTGTCTACAAGAACAAATTGCATAAAGATGAAGAAGTAAAATGGAAGAACCAAATTATAGTAGTCTTAAATGCTAGTCTTATTGATTTTTATGTTCGTTTGTCAGACAATGAGAAGCCAGTGAAAGTTTTCCTGTGGGATTGGTAACAAGAGGAGATATGAGCATTTCCCCCCAGGTATAATGTATGGGCTGGTTTAAGGGGGGAAGATTAGAGATCATTGGGAATAGCTGAGGTAAGAAGAAGTGAGAATGTGGCTTTAAAAACAGCATTGAGATGGCAGCCTGAGAGCACCTGTCCTGAGGTAGGCAGAGGCTAAAGAGATCTAGAAGCACAGGGAGAGAAGTTACTGAGATTCAGGCTGGTGCCTTGCACACAAGAGGAAGTGGTTCAGGAATTGAACACCATGGAGATCAGAGAGGATTGGAACAAAATGAAGATGAGTGTGTTTGGCAATAGCTATTAATTTACTCCTGTATTGACTTGTTTTTTTTTTTTTTATGGAATAAGTAAATACTATTGTGCTAGAGGATAATCCCCATAAAAACGCTCTTCTATACTGTCAACTCCATTACTTATTGGCAAGATCACCTTTGACAAATTTTTAATTTTTTTACAATGCCAATTGCTTGATGTTACTCGCCTAAATGCCCTCAACCTTTCTGTTCTTCATAACTCTAAGGTGTGTAATTCTTGGGTCCACGTTGTAAATAGCAATAATTGGAAATATTGTTTTGAATGTTTGGCCGGTGATTCATTTGGCACTTTTAGGTGAATAAACACAAGTAGAATGAAGTGTATGGTATAGGTATAATGTGAAGAAAGGAGTCCTACCAGTAGTATCAAAGTGATACGGGAGTAGATGGAAGGGTAGGATGGACAAGTGTGCAAGGAATTTAAAAAGAAACCACAAACATTCCCTAGAATGGTGAGAACTTTTTCTCAAAGCCATTTCTCTTCAAAGAGAATCTGGGTAGTTCCTTCAGGGAGAATTCTGTTGATTAGAAATTTTAAAAGGTCAAGCCCTAAATACTTGTTTAAGGGATGTACCATGGGACTTAGAAGGAGCTTCTAGTTCCTCTCAAATATTATTTTCTGTGAGGCCCTGATCCTTCCAGGGGGTTTCATTTCCTCTCTCCTTGACCAATGCTTTTCAAACACTGAGATCACTGAGGAAGAGTCTTGTTAAAATGCAAATCCTGCCCTGTGAATCAGAGGGTGGGGCTGAGATTCTGCATTTCTGCCACTTTCCCAGGTGATGCCAATATTGCTGGTTCATGGAACCGCACTTTGAGTAGAAGAGGTCAAAACTATTTTGCTTTTCTTCTCATTATAGATAATCAAAATAATTTTGAATCAGTGTAATTCAGCTCCTTTACCAGACTGTGAGCCCTATTTTACATATCCTAGATTAGAGTACATATACAATATGTGTGTGTGTGTGTGTGTGTGTGTGTGTAGATACATAGGCAATCTCTTATTGATGTGAATAGGTTAAAAAAATGTTACTTTGGTCAATGATTTGTATTATTCAGTATCCTCAATAATTTGTATAGTATTTGTGTAATATTTGTTTAGGTAGGGGGTTTTAACTTTTAACTGAGAGGTTGAAGTAAATGTTTTGTTAGAAAATGAGCACCAGAATATGATGTGAAGTAAGGTTTTCAAGTAAAGTTAAAATACATTTGATGTATGACTTATGAAAATGTATTTCCACCCAAAGAATTGTACTTGAATATTCTATGCAGTTTTATTTACAATAACCAAAAATTGCTAAGAAATTAAATGTCTATTGTGTAGTGAACTAATAAATTGTCGTGTGCCATACAATGACATGATGCTTAGCAGTAAAAGTAAATGATCTTCTTGTAAATTCTGCAACATGGACAGCTTTTTCAAAGGCATTATGCTAATTGAAAGAATCCGGGAATTAGATACACACTGTGAGATTACATTTATATGAAATTTTAGAAGAATTCAATAGTGAAATTATAGTGATAGCTGATCAAGTTGCTAGGGGCCAGGAAGTAGGGGAAAGGAATGAGGAACTTTGGGGGTTTATGGGAATGTTTAGTATCATGGCTTTGGTGATGGTCACATACATGTATACATTCTCCCAAACTCATCAAATTGTGCACTTAAAAGTGGTGAATTATATTGTATAAAATTTTATCTCAATAAAGCTAATTTGTTTTACAAAAGTAGCCATAGTCATTACCTGTTCACAATACCTAATACTGTTTTGGAGGTTGATATCTTATCAGTAGGATATTAATTAATAGTAAGAAAATTTTTAAAAAGTATCCCCTCTTAGAGAGCTGGGGCCTGGGGAGAAATCATGAATAAACAGAAGTGCCTTTAAAAGCTTCTTTGTCTATTTGCAATGGAGCTGAATCTAAAGCAAGAGATCTCAAAAACAGGAACTCCAGTTCATTTATTTTTAGCATGCAGTGTCGTTGCTATTAGTTGAATGATTGTAGTGTGTA